TAACTTGTGTTAATCAACACAAGGTAACGAGTGGAGCAGAGTGGGGAATGGCCCTTTTCTCTCTTCCTCTTTTTTACTGTAAGCTGCTGTTTTCTGTTTTTTCTTCTACTTCTGTTATGTTGCCCTTTATATAGCATTTTGGGCTGTCATGGGGGTTGCTTGGAATGGCTTTGGCACTGGAAATTGCAACATCTGGAAATTGCCCCAGCCTTGAGACAAAATACAATGCACAAGGATGGGTGGAGTAGAAAAAAGCAACCAGTAACCTCAGCTCCCAACTGTCTTTCCACATATCTACTCCCTAGTAGTTTGCATCCAGAATATATAACTTTTTCTGGACGGATAGACGTGCAACTCCATGCAGGGAACTGGACAACGACATGCCAGCATTCAAAAAGGATCTATAACCTGTAACTTACTGTCTTTTCTGGTTCAGTGAGCTGTCTACCTTTTCCTTCCTATTCTTGAGGGGTTGATCAACCCATGTGCTGGGCTGTGCTGAAAGAGCAATTTCTGAACTTGCTAATATGGCAGCACCAGCTTCCTGCTTGTCTGCTGGTTTTCTCTTTTGTCGTTGAGTCCATCATGTTCTGTCAGTTCAGAGAGAACTTTCTACATCAGTTTAACAAAGCATTGCTTTCTTCTTTGTTTTCTACTATTCAGTATTTCACAGCTTTACATACTGGAATTTTACCATCACACTGGACCAGCGTTGCTGGCTGGCTGAGCTCGGCTGAAGGTGAGCATCACCCAAGCCTTGTAAGAAAAATATCTGCCAGCTACTGACAAGAGGCCTGACTCTACCAGGCTGTAGACCACAACCTCTTTGTAGTTTTGTGCTCTTTATTCAGGATGTAGATATGGCTTACTATAGTTGGGAGGTCACTGGTCTGAACGTCTTGCCACTGATTGTTCTCCTGAATTGGCGATGGCAGGCAGCGGGGTTCAGAAAGCTGTTCGACGGATGTGGTTGTTGCTGAGAGAAGACGTGTCTGCACCTTTAGCACTGAGTGAGATCATAGGAAAAGGAGAGCGTGCTCCTCCAGCCTCATGAAGAGTTGCACAAGATTCCTTTGACAAATAGGAATATCGGAAGTTTAATAGAATAGCTGAAATTCAACGTGATAATCATCTTGTGAACGAATGCACGTGCCACATGCAGGTACTTGACTATGCTGATTGTAACTAGAATTTGTTCTGACTTTACAACCTTTAGTGCTGTCCATGATAGATGTAAACCTGCAATTTGCTACACCTCTCCTTCCAATAGGCCACCCTGGGGAATAAAAACTTCCTTTCTCTTGATATAGAGGAAAAGCAGCATCTGAAGGCACTGGTTTTAGGTTCTTCTGTGGATAGCTTCTTGTTTCAAGGCACTTGATGCTGCATGTGAGGGGTTTTTTGGTTTCTTTGCGCTGCCCAAGTTTTAGACCTTGACTGATAGATAAACCTCTGAAGTTCTGCACTAAGAAAACAATCTGAAGAAAAAGAAAATCCGTGTTTCACAGTCATACAATATAATGCTTCCCAAAACCAGCCATTTTACTTTGTGGCTTGTAGATGTTGATTGCTTCTGTTGCCTGTTTGGTGGTGCTTTCCTTGGCCTTTGTGTCTGTATAGGGTTCTGCTGTACTCATCAGGGGGCTGCCTGTAGACCCTGCTAAAGGCTCCACCTCCTGCCTCAGTTTCTGACTTATAAGTGATAAATGTGAGCCTTGTTGTACTGCCTGACAGAGATAAATTATGTTAACGTAGTAATAAAGTGGTTATTTATATTACTGGACATTCATAAGTCACAAAGATACTCAGGTTGTAATTCTGCTGCCCCTGCTTGATGGAATCTTATGTCAAAGAGGAGAAAAAGTGTTTGGGGTTTTTTTAGCCCATTCATAAAGCAGTCAAAGGAATGTTGTTGCTGTTGGTTTTGTGCATCTGAGTCTGAGCAAGCTCAGTTGTGGTCCTGTGTTCTTTGTTTGTTTTTAAATGATCCTAAAATACACACTATTAGAAATTGCAAATCCATTTTTATATCAGTTCTGTAATTCTAATTATGAGGTCTAATATTAAAGATGTGGAGTAATGGTCTATAAGCATTCATAAGGCCTCATGGGCTGTCCTATTTTATTCCTGTTCTGTCTTGAATTAAAAAAAAATATTTTAAGATAATACTGTATAGGAAAAGGACTTGGCGTTCGTAAGTTATTCTCTTGGCAGCTGGAAAATGCTGTGCAATGTTTATCTGTGCTGTAGCATTCCTGTATTTATTCTCTAGATCAAAACCCACAATTTTTTGATATGCTGTAATTCAGGAAAAGAATCTCTAAATCACTTTTAAAATTGCTTTCAAGTTGTGGCATAACGTACTCGTTTTTACTTTTTTCTAAATCACATTTCACACTCTACACAACAGATAAGATGCATTTTTTTATTCGTTGATTGCAACAAATAATGATCACTGAGATGATGGATGGGGGTATTGGGATAAAGACATTCTGCAGTCAAGGTTGAATCGTGATCATTTCCCTTAGTTTCTGCTTTTTGGTTTTGTTCATATTCTTGCTTTCATGCTTTGAAGTCATTATATGTATTTGTTTATAGTAAAACCACAAGAGGAAACTTTTTTTCAGTGCTGACTTAAAACAAGCTCATGGTTGTTCAAACTACAGACTGTTTATTTTAATGTTGATATATTTTCAGGGGTGAAGAGGGGAGAGAAAGGAGCTTAGAATAATTCTGTTCACAGACTTTGAAATAAAATGAGCTTATCTGCCCTGGCAGATTCTTTTTGCCTTTTTATAAGACAGAGAAATACTAGCCTTTCACTGAAAGAAGGTATTATATATGGATATAATATAAGTGGCTATAAACATAATGGATATATTATGTCCCTAACACGCTATGAGATTTCCCTCCTAGTATAACCTTAGCATTCAAAAACATTTGTCTGCTTTTCCAACTTTGTTGATATTTATTTTCAAATTCTTACGGAGTAGAAATAAATATTTCTATACTTGTATTTGGTTTTTCCTGTTTTATTTGCTGACCATTTTCTTGGAAACTCTAAGCAATAGAGCACAATATTATGTCCCTAACACGCTATGAGATTTCCCTCCTAGTATAACCTTAGCATTCAAAAACATTTGTCTGCTTTTCCAACTTTGTTGATATTTATTTTCAAATTCTTACGGAGTAGAAATAAATATTTCTATACTTGTATTTGGTTTTTCCTGTTTTATTTGCTGACCATTTTCTTGGAAACTCTAAGCAATAGAGCACAACAACTGTGTCTTTGGCAAAGAGGATCTGGACACGAATCACTGACCTTACAGATGCTGAGTTAAGTGAAGGCAAAAGGTTGTTTGTGTAATATCATTTTTTCCTCCCTAGCATAGACCATGAGAACTCCGGGGGGGGGGGGGGGGGGTTGTTTCCTGAATTCTAATAACAATAGTTTTTCAAATGATTTCTAAAAACAATGTGTTTTGGTGGTTTTCGAAATCATGGCATAGGACTGCAGAGTATTGGGTATGCTGTAGCTTTTGTGATGGGGGTGTGGGACGGCTACTTGGATTAGGATGATAGTTTATTACATGTTTTCAAATTCGGCCTTAGTGTAGATGATCCAACAAGATCCCTGAATGCCAATAGTTTTTCTTTTGCCATATTAAATGTAAGTAGTTATGCAGCAAAATGCAAATTCAGAAACAGATTTTTTTTTTTTTTTAATCCGGAAGGGAATTACTGATTACAGACTGTTAGTTGTCTGAATGCCTCATGTATTTTTGAAAGTAACTGAGGGCTCTTTCTTACTTATGATGATAAGAATAGAAGAAATGAGATAAAACAGTTCAGGTAGCATACTGTTTTCAAGCAAATTCTAATTTCAGTTCACTTAAATATTTTTTTTTTTACATGCTTAATCTACTTAAATGTTGTAAAACAAATTACCGTGTTTCCAATAGATACGTAGTATTTCATTAGTAAAGATTACAATGTTTGCCGAACCTGATTTGCATAGATACCATGTCAGTGCTGGGGGTGCCAAGTGGCTGTATGTGGTCATCTTTGCACGGCTTGAACTGGGAGTAGGGGGACACTCGAGGCAGAAGATGTCCAGGCTCAGTGCAGCGTGAGCCCACCATGGCTGAGCATGACCATGGTGCAGAGCCAGCAGCAGCCGTGGCTCTGCAGGCAGAGGGCAAGAGATTTGGTACAGCCCAGGAACAAGGGGTTGGTTGAGGAGGAGGTGGTAGCCTTTGAGCAGAGTCTGTGGAGGTGGTGGCCCGTTTTGACTTAACATGGTGGCAAGCTCTTCTCAAGAAGAAACTTTTGGGTGCTTACGTGGTGTTTGCTCATAGGCAGTGGTGTTCAGTTTATTCTGAAACGGTCTCAGTTCTAGGGTTGGTGCTTCTGTCACCATTGACCATCACGTGAATGTTCTGGATGCTGCTATGAGTGACAAATGTGTTATTACATTTCTGTAATGCATAGATTAAAGTATTAGAATAACCTTATTTCAGTTCCATTGAATGCAGTTTATGCAGTATCCTAAAGGCCAAAATGCTAAAATACTTTCTCTCCAAAGCATAGTTTGCTATGTTTTGTTGCCAAATAACAACTTGCGTCCGAAAGTTGCTAGGACTTTGAAGCAATGCAGATGGAGTTGTTGACTTCTACCATATAGCTTTAGGAAATCAAAGACTGCTTAGATACAGCGCTGATAGATACTTACATCACAGATTGAAGGGTTGAAAGTTGAACGGAATTTATAGTGGATTTGATGAAATTAAATTAATGGGTTTTTCAGAACACTTGTTTCATGGAGTAACAAATGAAAGCAATACATCAGAAATCCATCTTAAATCTTCTTCCCTTTACTGTGTTAAGAATTAGGTATTCAGGACAATCATCATTAATGTTATCGGCTAGAAAATCTATGGGGTTTTTTACTGTTAACTCATCACAAAAATGCTTTTTACAATGATGTGCTTTTCTTTTTCCCTAGGTGGCTATTTTTAGTGCAGTAGTGTCATTAGCTGGCTGAAGACCAAACATGAGAATAGCAGGTAAGTATACTCAATAAAATCAGACTTTTGTCACTTGTGAAACAAGTGCTACAGACAGCATTAACAAGTTGTGACAGTAAGGTTTTAGAATAAACTTAACTGGCAAAACAGGCATTGCTGTTCCATTTAATTGATGTTTAATGAAACTCATTCTGGAATTTGGGATGGTCTAAGAGCGAGCAGCTGGTTAAAAAGCTTCAGCTGATCTGCAGTGACTGGTTAACGTGCCATGACTTGACATGCTTTGGCTGCTAATTTTGTAAGATGATGAAGGAATGAGGAAATGGCCAATTGATGTCCTAAGCGATTTCTTCCCTGTCTCACACCCTAACCAAAAGTGCTATGCACTATTCTAATATAGTGTCTGAAACTTGCTGAATGGTTACTGGGAGTTTGAAAGCTATAAAAGCCTTTTCATAGAGCTAAGTTACTGTAGTACAGGGTTTGAGAAACAGGTTTTACTTGACAGAAGGTGTAGTGGTTGTAAAAATAAGATCTTTGCCAATGTAACACTACAAGAAAATATTATTTTAGACATTTCCTTGCAGTAGAATAGCCTGTGTGGCAATTGAACAGTCTTGAGTTTCTGACGCATTGCACTTTTATCAATAGTTGCAGTGTTATGTTGCAGAAGGAGCAACTGTTGGCTCTTCTAGGAGAGAATGACACCTTCTTTTCCAAGAGAGTTGCACATTAACTTTATTAATGCCTGAAATTAGTCCTGATTTTTGTCACTACTTCTAAAGTTGTTTTATTAACCTCAGTATGTGTAACTGGGAGCAACCTGCTGAAGTAAATCTGATAAAGAACTGCAAAATGCTGCAATTTTTAGAAGATGGCTAAATCCCCTGGAAAATGACTTTCCAAACCTCTTTTTTTCTTCCATCTAACTACTTTTGTTGCTAAAACCCACAGACAAAGAAGATACGGCAGGGGGGTTCCTATAGAATTTTTAACCTGTAGCAAACAGGCTGGTTTTGGTTCAAGTGCTAAAAGAATTTTCTAGGTTTCTTACCCCTCCCTTAGAGGGATTGCTCACAGTTCAGATGAAAGGCTCAGGATACAGAGTGGAGGGGATGGTTAGTGCTCAGACTGAGTTCTCGTTCATCTCACCTACTATCTGCTGAAACAACGTGCTCTCCAAGTGCCACTTGCTAGATGACACATTCCAAAATCTGGTACCATCTTGTCTTTTTAAGCAGTGTTGCTTTGAAAACCTTTTCTCCACTTCTTAACGTATGTTCAGATCATCTGTTTTCTCTAGCGCTTACATGTGCGTCACTTCCCTTCAAGTGCAATAATCTCTGGAGTTCCAGCATAATATTTTTAAATTAAGTTTGCATCTGTGTTTTCTTACATAGCATGTATGTGCTCTCACACTCATAAAGGGAAAGTGGGAGAGGAAGACCGAACTACAAGCAAACAAAAAAGTTGTATCTGTTTCTCCATCTTTCTTTTCTTTTTCTACCCCCTTATCTTTTTAGCCTTTTGGAAGGATTGATTAACATCTCTTATCCTTCTGAAGGCTGAGTAGTCTGTCTATTTTAAGGTTTTCTGAACAGCCCATCACAGCAGCAGTCTGAGATCTGCAGGAGTACATGAGTTTGGGTTTTTTTCTGAAGGATTTATTTGGCTGGCAGTCTGAGAAACAAGCATGCTGTAAGGTTGCTTCCTCCAAACCATTTGACATACTGGGGTGAGACAGGAAGGCAGGATGTTGATCAGATGCCTCCTCACCTAACTTCTACTTTCAGGCAGTTAGTATTTTACAATAAGCTAAGAGTAGAGTATTCTGTAAAAAATTTATTGAAAATTATGCTAAAAAATGGCAGGGTTCATTGCAGTACCACATACACCCAAGCTTCCATTTCAGATGTAAATTGCTGTGGCTGTGTGCTTCTAGCTCGTCTCCCGGGAGGTAGTTTGACCACTCAGCACTGGAGAAAGTTAGGCTTGTAGAACTTCAAGCTACCTGAGGCTTCAAGATGTTAAAAGGGAGAGGGCAGAGGTACTGCTTTTTATTACTTTTTAAATTAGCTCTTTTGAGTTTTTAAACTAGCTTTTTGAAGGTCAGTAATTTAAATTTGTTGAAAAGGAGATGAGGAGGTGCTTTTTTGTTTCGGTTGGGGTTTTTTGGGTGTTTTTAATGTAATGCTCAGACCTGACTGACCAAAGCAGCCAAGCTACAGTATATGAACAGATCCCTAATCACTCAGTCTTGGCCATACATTAAAATAGAGGTAGCTCAATTTGGGAAGGGGGGGAGAGGAGTATTTGTGAACAGTGAGGAAAGGGGTACACATGGCTAAGAACAGGGAAGTGGAGTGGGGGTAGGTGGGAATTTCCCCTTTGGACAGCAGCCAGTTAGATCAGCTTAGTTCATCTTGTTAAGCTGGATTTCCACGAAAAAGTCTGGTTTCTCCTGGCTTCTGAGCTGAGTTGGTGTACTGTGGTGTCAGACAAGCATGAAGCTGGAGAAAGTTGAGAGCAGGGTATGTATTTGGTATAGTAACCTGATGGACTGGCTCAGTTGTGTCCTACATTACAATGTCCATTTCTTGCAGATTACTTCTGTTTAGTGAGACCACAAATGATCATCCTGTTGGAGTTCCCCTTAATGTAATCTGATAACATTTCTCATGTAGTTAATTTTGGTAAACTTAATGTTTTCATTTGCAGATAATTTTTTTGAAACTATTCTCTGCTTCTGAATAGGTGCTGCAAAGTTGGTAGTAGTCGTAGCAATATTTTTATTGACGTTCTATGTCATATCTCAAGTGTTTGAAATAAAAATGGATACAAACTTAGGACACATATTTGGTAAGTGATGACTTTGTTTTCTTTGGACATCTATTAATATTTACTGGAGCCATAATCAAGAATATCATATTAATTTTGCTTTAAGCTTGACTTAAGCTTTTACACTTAAGAATTCTGTATTTATTTTTAATGTGTGTACTTGTTATTTTTTATATATATTATACATATATAATGTGTGTATTAAATTGTTTTCTGTATGAAATATTTAACCTACTCTCTTAATCAGTTTTATTCTTTTGCCTGCCAAGTATGCATAATTTTACCTGCTTTTTCTGTTTATTTGTACTTAAGGTCTTAGTCTGGAGTTGTAAACTAGGCAACTTGAATGATTTTTCTGGAAATCTGCACTCTGCCTTTCTGCTGCTTAAGCAATTCAAAATTTATGTTTTGGGTGGGCTTTTTTGCTTGCACAAGTACACTACCATGTACAATAGAATGTGCAGTAATCAAAACATTTCAGATGTGCTACACAGAAAAGGATTAGCAGCTGAGGTGACTTTGAATTCAGAGTCTGTATTTTGGACTAACTTTATCTTTAAAGGGGCTTTTCATTAAAAAAAACACCCCACAATTTTAGGTACATGGGTAGGGTTCATATTATTTAACTCCCGATTACTACAGTGTGAGCCGACATCTGAACCAGTCATTAGAGGCATCTTTAATAATCGTTGAAGAGACGCAGGTGTCATTATTACAGATGTATTGTAGATAGGTGCATGATGAGGTCACTTGTGTCTCTTCCTATCCCAAGAAAGGGAGTCATGAATGGTTGGGTTCAGATGCACCTGAGTTGCAGGCTTCCAGTGTTAGGTGAAAGGAACCCCATCCTGATGAAGCTGTAAGAAGGGAATTCATTTCACTTTAGTGCTCACGCCTCCACAAATCCCTGGTGGTTTTGTATGTCCATGGATCTTTGTGTTAATCAGAGAGTCATAAATTAAGGCAGTGCTTCTAAATGTGGTTCCTGATCACTTTCTTTCTCCTGCCATGTAAAGATTAATGTTTTATATTGGAACATAATGTTCAGATGTATTTGATACTTCATTTCAACCAACCTGTTTTTATAGGGGTACAGAAGGGTTTTAAATTTATAGGATAATTTATAGCAGATGACACTTTAATAGTAACATCTTGCAAAACTTTCTTTTTGTATTTTAGCTAGATCAGCACTGGATGCAGCTGCACGCTGTGAGTATTCATATGCATGTGTTACTGCTGTGACTTGCTTTCGCTAATAACAGCAAGACCGTTGAATTTTCATAGTTAAGAAAGTCTTAATTACGCTTTAAATGCAGTCAGAAACTAATTTTCCTCTGTTCCTGATTTTTCCTAAATTTCGGCTAAAGTCTGTTTTTTGCCAGCATTTCACTTGTAGTTTTGTCTTGTGGCTTTTGATGACAGTGCCAGAGCAAGCAGCAGGGTGAGAACAAGAAGTGGAATAACGTGGTACTGCAGGAACGTAAATTATTTTCAGCTGCTATGAAACTGCAGATGAGATACTGTTTGCCTTTGCTCTTTTCCTTGAATTCCTTCAGAAAACTGATACTTCTCTGTTAGCCTACCTGTGGTGTTGTCTCTAAAATCCTGTTTTATTTCCTTTTGAAAGCTACAAAACCTCCAAGATACAAATGTGGGATCTCTAAAGCTTGTCCTGAAAAGCATTTTGCATTCAAAATGGCAAGTGGAGCAGCAAATGTAGTGGGACCTAAAATTTGTGTAGAAGATAATGTGTAAGTATTTTTACATGTTGTTTCTAAGTATCTCTTTCAAATGCTGTCTTGGATCACTTTGCACACAAAATCAGTAGTTTAAATGATTCTTCACCAGTTTCATTTTGCCAGTGCTTTGACCACATGAAAAAAATCATATTGCATTGTAACTTAATCTCTGATGAAGCACACTTAATACTCTGCAGTAAATGCAGAAATGTACACTATTTTAATACATGCAAGATAGCTTACACTTTATTTCAGGTTTACAGACTTAAGGACTAGTTAGACTTTGTCAAGTCAGATGCAAACTTGCCTCCAAGTAACTTGTTCTCATGCCTCTAATAGTAATTCAGTGAACGATTGTATTTTTAAGTAGTTACTCTTGATACTTCGAACTGAATGAGATCAGCTAAAACTGCTGTGGAATTGTCTTTTGCAAGTCATCTTTTAAACTATCTATTTCTGTAGTACCAATGTCAGAACATATTTTCCACTTTTCTTTAAAGGATGACTTCAAAAGGGAAAAATAGGATTTTAAAGATCAGTAGTTACTTAATTGTGCTGATGGTAACTAAAGTTAATAAACTTAAAATGGCTGTGAAATGAGGAAGGGAACTGCTTGAAACACAGTTTTGTTTTGAGTTTAAGTCCTGTATTTCTAATAACATATTTTTAACACAGAATTATCAATAATACTGTGCCTAGAGTATTTAACTGAATATCTTTCAGTAATCCCCATAATGGGAATATTAATATTTATTTTTAGACTCTCTGTTTCTTTGCTCTTAGATTGTTCCTGCTGATTGTCACCCAGAGTTTGCAGTGTCATATAACATAATCTATCCACTCAATTTTGCATGTCAGAAAAGACATGATGTTAGCATTGTGGGAAGGAGTTGTTTTTAATATCAGTCACACTTACAAGCCTTTGCCTTCCATTTGCATTTAAACTACTCCAGTTTAGCTGTTTCTCAGCCCACGCTATGTTAGTACAGAGTGGTTCAGATAGTGTGTACAGCAGCTAATGCTAATGAATTCTTGAGCAAATGGCAACTTCACTGTGAACAACATAACCCCATGTAATATAGTAAATAGGATAATTAATCTATAAGAGAATAAAACGTATTGGTTTACATTTTCCATCACCTTACTCTCTAAAGTAACTCTGTAAGATTAGTGTTATATGATCTGAAAGAGAAGACTATTTTTAGCACGAACTCTAGCAATTAAGATGTAGCGAAGTTGCAATGGGAGCTTTTTTCCCAGACAACTAAACACATGCGGCTTCTTTGCGTTATTAGTAGAAACACGGGCACCATTCAAATTTCAAGCCGTTCTTCTGTGAGGTTGACTTAGCTCAAGCTTGCTTGCTTGTGTAGGAGTGCGTTTGCAGCAGAGCATCACGATGTAGTTGGGGAGCACGTGCAAAGTGAGCATGAGCTCACCGCTGGCACGTACTAACTAAAAGCTGCTAGGTTTTGCTTTCCATTCTTACCGTTGATTCACTTCATGACCTTGGACGGTCTTACCTAATCTCTCTGCGTGGTATTTTTGTTGGTGTTACAAAACTTGCTACCTTCTCATTCTGGTTGCTAGGAAGCTTAATATCTGTGAAGACTTAGGGTGATTCATTGATTAAAAGTTGTGGGAGTGCAAGTAATATTTTAACTTCAGGATTGTAGGCTTTTGGGGTTTGTTGGTTTTTTTTTTTAAATGTCTCGCTTACTGGTTAACTAAGAAGAGATTGTTGTCCTGTCAAAAAAAAAAAAATCCTCTACTGGATATTTCACTGAAGAAAGTGATGAAAAGAAAGTAGCTGCTGGCAAGAAATCCTCTATTCTTTTAATACTAGTGTGCACCTTAGTGCACAGCTATTGCTTATTATCTTAAGTCCAGTTTTCCTTGGCAAAAATCTTTCTGAATTCCTTCTGAGGAAGGAATTAATGTCTTTTACAATATTCTCCAAAAAATTTGATTAATTTTGTTTTCTCCTGCTTTGCTCACAAGATGTTTGATTTCTCTTTCAAAAACTCCCATGGCTTGTTGGTTAAATTGTTGGAAGAATTCTAAAACTGGGGAACGGCTGCCCTCCTGTGAGAAAACTGTCACATTACAGCCTGTAGTTTTGTGACTTAGTGCACAAGCTATCTCAAGTGTGTAAAGTAGAATCTCAGAGCTCTGAAATAACTTATTTCCTCTGCAGTAGCTCTTTTTTTAGTGATATTTTGTGAACTCACTCTTGCAAAATGCTTTTTTCTGATTACTTTGTATTATTCTTCATACTTCCGAGACAAGGAAGCAGGGACAAGTTTTCATAATTCATCAATGATATTTACCACGTAGGTTTTTTGCTGTGTATTAAACATAAGAATGTCACTTGGTTTATGAGAGCACTAAACATGCTGATATAATTCCAAATGCATTTAATTTCTCAATTTTTCTTTATAATTATATAGATATTTTGGTGTGAAATAGGAATTCTGCTGTATAGAAGTTCAATTATAGCCTTGTTCTCCTATGTTGGAAGGACATAATCCAAATTAGAAAAAAAAGTACTGTAGTCATCATCAAAATAGTAAATATTGTAGATGCTACTTCACAGGCTTTTTAGAAGAAGGGGCGATATCGCTATACTTTACCAGCAACTTCTCCATGCCGTTTTACTTCTATTAAGAAGCCAGTTGCATGATTGTGCTGCAGTAACCTTATAGCAGAATGTCGCACTACAGACGTTTAATAACTAGTAATTCTTGTATTTATATTTTCAGGATTTTTTTGTTGTCTGAAATCTGTTATAACTTGTTATGTATATGTGGATTTTCAGTGTCTAGTCACGCCAGTACTGGATATTTTTTGACTGGTATTTATTTACAGATAATTTTGTAGTTAAAATAAAAGAAAGTTCTTATTCTTTTTGGTAAATTAAATGTCCACTAAATTTTATATGGGCAAAGGAATGTGTTCAGAACGTCACTGCCTTATTTTCATTTACGTTTTCAGTCTTTATTTGCCATATGTTTTTATTGTTTAGAACGGATGCTCTGACATGATATGAAAATGATGTGATCAGAGAAGAAATGATCCTCCAGTGGCTGTAATACTTTTGGAGTTCCCTACTAACCAGAACTGAATTCTGCATTTCAGCAGAATTTCAAGTCTTCTGTGTTAGAAGTTATTGAATTAGGGTTTTAATTTTAATAAGAATTTTTGGCAGATGGTATAACTTAGAGGACTAACAGAAGAATATGGACTCTTTCATCTCTGATTACTAGTTCTTTAAAACCTAAGTCACTGTGCCAAGAGTTACCATTAACCGGTAGTCTTTCACAGCCTCTGAACTAGCTAATACTGAGTCTGTTCCTGATAGTTGTCTATTAAATTTGACATTCCTCTAAATTTTGGCTTCTGTCTTCATCCTGGGTGCAAGAGATAGCATCAGAGAGGAAGATTTGTCATACTTCTGTGATAGACCATTTCTTGTTTCTAGCCTATCACTAATAATTTAGCATGATGAAGCAGATGTTGCAGTTGTGTGCGTAAGGATGTAGTCCTTCCAAAACATTGCTTAGAACAGACATTCAGACATGACCTGAAAAGCATACGATTGCAGAAGAGATGTGAAGAAAGTTTTGAACATAACAGGATTGTACACATCTGCAGCCCCTTCCTAGAGCAAGCTAGGGAGGTTAAAAGAAATCCTGATCAGGATGGAATTAAAGCATCTGTTAGTGCATTTGTAATTAATGATATGTGCACCTGTATGCTTATGCTGAGGTGCTTTCTTGAATCTCAGCTGAAGACTTCTTAATTATCTTAATTTATGTAATTGTTGCAACCCTTACTCCTACTTCTCCATGTGAACGCTAACACTCCTACCCCCAAAATCAAAATGTTAATGCTGGGATATTTGGGGCCTGGAGGCAGAACAGAGGTCTTTATACAGTGCCAGTGAAAAGGGATGAGGAGGTCTGGAAGCTTCCTCTCACCGGAGTGGTACACCCGACTTAATTATCTTAATTTATGTAATTGTTGCAACCCTTACTCCTATTTCTCCTTGTGTATGTTAACTCTTTTACTCCTAGCTTCAAAATGTTAATGCTGGGATATTTGGGGCCTGGAGGCAGAACAGAGGTCTTTATACAGTGCCAGTGAAAAGGGATGAGGAGGTCTGGAAGCTTCCTCTCACCGGAGTGGTACACCCACCATGGCCCAAGGCAGCACAGCATCCTAGCTAACAGTCTTGACATTCCCATTAGCTCTTCTTTACAGCTCTGAAGGGCTTCCATTTCACAATGCATCTCTTTTTTCCGGCTCCTTTGCCACTCTGAGTTTGGCAAAGTAATTGCTGTAATAGATTTTGATGGTTGTGTTGGGATGTGTAACTGTACTCCAAGATTATATTCAACTTTTGTTTAAAGTCCCATCAGTGTATTAACTATTTTTCTTGAATTTAGGTTTCCTATTATAGGTACAAGTAGCTAACTGCTTTGACTTTGTTTCTTAGTGTGATGCTGCAATATTAATTTTAAATGCCTCTGTTCAGTTAGCTTTTAAACTCATTAACACATTTTTGTTCATCATGTGCTTACAAAAAAGCTTAAAATGTTTACATGACTGTGCTAAGCTCCTCAAATTATTATTTGTTTCAGGCTCTTTAACTGCAAGGAATTTTCTTAAATACATTAATAGCACTTTATTTTTTGTGACACTTTTAATAAACACGCATGCTTTGAAACCAAGATGATTAAGCGATCAAATGAAATGGATACAACTGGGGATATTTGATCTATTGTTCTCAATTCAGTGGTGCCATAAGAGCACACAGATTAGTTCAAGGAGATTTTGCTCATTTAAGTACTTGTGAACATGTGGTCTTTCAGCTATGTATCTCTTAAAATTTGATTGATCCTATTAAAAAAACAGAAATAATTCACATCAGAAAATTGTCCTATTAAAAATAAAATTGTTTATTTTGTTTCAGTTTAATGAGTGGAGTTAAAAATAATGTTGGCAGAGGAATAAATGTGGCCTTGGTCAATGGTAAGTGACATTTCAAGTGAGCAGATAGTCTTCATTTTCAAATTTCTGAAATTTAAGGTGATGTACTAAGGGATGGTGAAAGGCAAGCAGGAGGAGAAAAGGAAGTATTCAGCACTTTTATACTGAGATAACGTCAGATTTTGACACTTATACCTTTTTGTTAGAGAACAGAAAAATTCAGTGCATTTTTGTTTCTAAAAATGTATAGTAAAAATAGTAATGTGGAGTGCTGGGGTGACTATCTTGGTGATACATCAGATAAATTCCTAATGCACATATAAAATGGAAAAAGACATGAGATGCATGCTGCTACTCTTGATTTTGTGCATTGCCACTACTAATAAAACTTTGTAGACTAAATTCTTCTGTTGCTCTCTGTTCAGTGAAACTTAACAATTCTGTTACTACATGGAAAGACCAGATCATTATTTGCTAGCTTGAAATCAGTGTATTTGATTAGTCCATATCTATAGGTCTTGTCCCTAAATACATCATGTTATGTAATTATGTTCAGGATTCTTAACTTTCATTAAAAACAAACAAATTTACCTGTGCGTCACCTTGAAAGCTGAACTGAATGTTGGTACTGGCAGATTTGTCCTTAATGTGTAGGAAGCAATTCCTTGTAGCACTGAGATAGCACTTTGTCATTTCACTGCAATATAAATTCATGTTATTTTTGGATTGTACTCAGGTTTACATCATAGCATCATAGAATAGTTTGGGCTGGAAGGGACCTCTAAAGGTCATCTAGTCCAACCCCCCTGCCATGGGCAGGGACATCTTCAACCAGATCAGGTTGCTCAGAGCCCCGTCCAACCTGACCTTGAATGTTTCCAGGGATGGGGCATCCACCACCTCTCGGGGCAACCTGTGCCAGTGTTTCACCACCCTCAGTGTAAAACATTTCTTCCTTATATCTAGTCTAAATCTAGCCCCCTTTAGTTTAAAGCCATTCCCCCTTGTCCTGTCGCAACAGGCCCTGCTAAAAAGTTTGCCGCCATCTTTTTTATAAGCCCCCTCTAAGTACTGACAGGCTGCAATAAGGTCTCCCCAAAGCTGCCTCTTCTCTAGGCTGAACAACCCCAACTCTCTCAGCCTTTCTTCAGAGGAGAGGTGTTCCATCCCCCTGATCATTTTCGTGGCCCTCTTCTGGACAGGGGCAGAATCACCTCCCTCGACCTGCTGGCCATGCTTCTTTTGATGCAGCCCAGGATATGATTGGCCTTCTGGGCTGTGAGCACACGTTGCTGGCTCATGTCCAGCTTTTCATCCACCAGTACCCCCAAGTCCTCCTTGGCAGGGCTGCTCTCAATCCCTTCATCCCCCAGCCTGTATTGATGCTGGGGGTTGCCCCGACCCATGTGCAGGACCTTGCCCTTGGCCTTGTTAAACCTCATGAGGTTCACACAGGCCCACTTCTCCAGCTTGTCCAGGTCCCTCTGGATGGCATCCCGTCTCTCAGGCGTGTCGACCACACCACTCAGCTTGGTGTCATCTGCAATCATCTAAAGCATGACTTGAACAATACTCACCTAATCCTATTTTGCCCTCCTAAATTGTCTCAATCTGTTCAAAACCAAAATACCTACCTTTGTATATATAGCTGCCAGTCTTTCTCCCTGTCTTCTAAACTTTAAATGAATGTATGTATTAAAAAGAAAACTCTACCTTCCATCAAATACTGCCTTTGTAGACAGCACAGTGTTAAAAAAAAAAGCTAATGAGATTACTATATTGTCCACTTTCTTCTATTTGTTCTCGATGTTTAAGTCGACTAAGAATTTCCAGTCTATAGCAAAACATGCAGTGTAATTTTAATCTTTCTTACTTTCCATGTGGCACTAAAGGCAACCTATAGCTGTACTATATTTTTGAAAAAACAACTTAAAACAAGAAAAAGGCAAATATATGAAGTGAATTCTCTTTTAGAGATGTTTTAGAGGCTGTGGCCTTTTTGTTTTATTTTACATTCCACTTGAAGCAAAATCAGAAGTTTGCATCTTCTCTCTTTTTTCCTCTTACCTTTACCTGCACCTCTTCACAAACTACTATGCTGTTTAAGGAGCAAACTTCATAAAAGATAAGCGTTACCATAGTAATTGATTAATGTGGTGTCTTCTGCAGCACTTTCTCTGAAAGTCATTGAGGAGTTGGGCATGTTGTCGGTAAAATAATTTTGGCTATATTTGACACCAAATATTTCTTTTTCTCCAGGTAAAACAGGAGAACCATTAGACACTAAATTCTTTGACATGTGGGGAGGAGGTAGGTGCAGTTACCTTAGCTGGTTAGAGAGAAACAACTTAAATGCCTTCCCCGCCCTGCCTTCTCCAGGCTCCATTTGCTGTGGTGGCTTAAGGTGATCGTTAAGGGAGTGCTTCACCTCTACCTTTTGTAATTGTGAGGAGTATCCAACTTTAAAGAAATACAAATAGCTGAGGTGGGAGGGAATGGTATGGTTAATCAAACACACTTGTTCTCCCAAGTAGTTCCCACTAGTGGTTATGTCCTTACACAATATAGATGGAACTCTTTCTGTAAAATGAAAGAGTTCTCTGATGCATTTTATCTTTCTTCCACTTAGCATGTTTTTATAAATTTATAAGTACATTAACAAATATTCTTAAAAGGAATGTCACTGCAGGTGTTTAGCTATGGAACGGTTGCTTGTTATTAAACAGTTTTGTGTTCTGTCTCTTTTCAGATGTGGCACCATTTATTGAATTTCTGAAGTCCATCCAGGATGGAACGATAGTGTTAATGGGAACATATGATGATGGTGCAACCAAGTATGTCATGGATTTATATAGTAAATATTGCTTAAACTTTTAAATGCTGTTTTATACTGAAAAAAATGCATTCTTTATCACACAATCACTTTTGATAAAGTCTTGTTCTTCCAAGCTGACGGATTAGAAACTGTGCTTTCAGTTTATTAGTTTTATAATGCTGATACGATTTGGGGACAACAAGGATCAAATTAAAACTAACCAGGTGTAATGGGTTATGTATGAATTTATGTAGAGGACTGTTTGTTGTTAGGATCACAAAAGTATACACCTGAGAAACAATAAATCAGATATTAAATTAGACCCTTTAGCAGAAATATCACAAGTGTTTGAAAACCTGAAAAGGCTAGAGATTAATAATTGACTAATTAGCAATTGCTATATCAGTACACATAGTTGTTTTTTTTGCTCCTCTGAGAAAAGATGTTAATGCAACAAGAAGACAATGTAGGCCATATGGTCAGTACAACAAACTGTTTATTCATAGCTATAAAGAATATATTTGCGTGTCAGGCATTGTACTTTTTTTTAAACCATACCCTTATCCTCCCTGGTTCCTGAGGGCCCTGTAGGTTTCTAGCTGCTCTCCTAGAATTTGTCCCTCCATTTTTTTTTTTTTTTTTTTTTTTTTTTTTTTTTTTTTTTTTTTTTTTTTTTTTTTTTTTTTTTTTTTTTTTTTTTTTTTTTTTTTTTTTTTTTTTTTTTTTTTTTTTTTTTTTTTTTTTTTTTTTTTTTTTTTTTTTTTTTTTTTTTTTTTTTTTTTTTTTTTTTTTTTTCCATGTGTGCTGCCAAGGAGATCTGTCTTTTTGGATATGTGCTGGTTTTCCTATTGCTGATAGCTCATTCTGTCTTATGCTAGTGAATTCAGATATGTCCGCACATAGGAACATGATTGTGAGAACATACTCTGGTAGAAACTGGACTGTTCCATCCAGCACTTTTCTCAGATCAACTCCAAGACAGAGTTCGGTGGTTACAGGGGTGCAGATACCATTCCCAATAGGCCTCGCCTGTATCATCCTTCCTTTTGAAGTCTGAGAGGTTACTATTGTGCACCTCGTACTTCTTGGCCTCAGTGTTTGGACTGCTCCACCCTAAAGCTGTTCAATTTATTCATGTAGACATAGCCTAAGAAGTTCTAGTTCTCTTTAAGCATTATCTTCCAACCTTCCCAACTTTGGTCAGCTTTAATAGATACTAAAAATTACTGTAGAATTTGTATTGTAATCTCCTCCTCACTTAAGTCATCCTGTCCAAAGGATTGCTTTTCATAGTAAAAATTAAGAGTGTTTTTTCCTTTTCCTCTGTTTTAATAATATTTAACCTTTTGCTAATGTGTTCTGTACATTTTTTTTCTATTTTGGTTCAATTTGTTGTCTACAACTTGTCTGTATTTTTGATGTAGGAGCAGCTTTCCTATGACAAAGTCCTGACTTTGCAATGTGCACTATTTGCAGTAAATAGTTAAGTGTCTGTACGTTCACTGCTTTTAGGAGAAGAAAGCGATGTAATGTTTCTTTATGCCAAGGCTGGATCTTCTGTTTTGTTACTTTTCTTTTTGCTCTTTTTCCTTTCTTCTTTGATGTATTAGATAAGTACAGTTAAGTTTGTTTCAATAATCATGTCACAGCTGATGTTTTTGAAAGCTTGCATGTAGATACAATATCAGCTAAACAAGAAGGTGAATTTGGCCCATTCATGCTGACAGCCAGGAACTACTGTTTATTAGTGATATTACATAATTAGCCAAAACCTTACCACTGGTGGTTGATGGTAATCATAAATGCCAGTTCTTGAAAACAATTAAAATTGTGAAGAACCAACATGTTTGAGAGAGAATTTTTTTTTTGTTTTAAATATAAGCTGCCCTAATGCTCTAGAAACTTGGTGTGGGTTGTGCAAATAACCTCCAAAGAACTTAATAATTTTTGTAATTTTAGCTAAAGTGAGTCATACAACTATATCTCAGTAAGTAGTAATAATCAGAAGTTGTATGTGGTGTTAAGTAATCGGGCAAATACAGTAAGTGAAAGGAAAAAATAAAGAGCTGTTATTTGGAGGTTTTGGAATGATAACTTATCATCCTACAGAATCGTTTTCTCTTCCATATTAAAATTATTCTGCTTGGACCTACAGGCACTGAACCGTGCTGTGGGGCAGCATTCTGAATTTTGAATTGACCCAAGCAGACAAGAACTTCTTTCATATATTTAGGTCATTCTTCTAATCTAAAATAGGTTTTACTTTATCTAGGCTTCAGCTTGAGCCTGCAAACAATGTTTACTTTAAAGGTTGACTTTTTAGTTGCTTGGAGAATTGCTAACATGACTTGAGATGTATGTATAAATTCTCACAGGAGAGGGTTCTTGGCTTTTGTTGGTGCACTGATAGGTTTGTATGCTGGTTCCTTGAGATTATAATATTAAAGAGCAGAGCTCATTAGATCAGGTGATTTCAGAACTAGCCTTATCTGATTTTGAAAGATAGATCTTGCCCAATATTGACTGACTTAAACTATATTTAATCAGATTAAAGCTGAATGGTCTATTGAACAATGAAAGCTCTAAGGGCATGTATTTTATTCGCATACTGAACATCTCTGTTTTGTTCAAGGCTTAATGAGGAAGCACGGAAACTGATCGCTGAATTAGGAAGCACATCTATTACTAACCTTGGCTTTAGAGACAACTGGGTCTTCTGTGGTGGAAAAGGAATTAAGACTAAAAGTCCATTTGAACAGGTCTGTGATTCTGTAACTTACTGGAATTTAACAGCTTACATTAATAGAGGCGTAGCATGTTTTTTAAATACCATGCATTTGTTCGAGGTGGGTATCTATTGCAGAAGTGGTATACAGTGTTACTTTCAAATTTATTCCTTGACTAGCCTCCTCCTTTTAAATGTACAAAAAAGATTCTTTGGTGATTCACAAATAAGAAAAAAATCTATATGGGGTAGATCTTAGTATCCCAATAACTAGATTATTTATCTTTTTAATGAATGCAATTAAACTGAAGAATTAAAAACTTACTGCCTAACGCTTGCATTTTAGATGCACTAACAATGGTAGACCTCTGGCAGGTAAGAGGTAGTTAAGGTGTTGGTGTTCCCAGCTGTTTACTTTGCTCTTCTGGCAAAAATTATTGCTGCCGTAGCAAAATTTGCAAAATAGAATATGTTCCCATACTTCAGCTGTTAAAATTCAACATGTGTCATTGTTGCCTTTAATTACCAGTAAAGGTAGTTTTGTACTAGGAGAGTAAGGAAGGTGTGTGCTCTTTTGCCAGCTTTGTGAGGGAGTGGGAACTAGTGCGGGAGCAGTGCAAACTCTTGGAGGCAGTAATGTCTTACCTGACTGCATATGGTTGCTTGGTGGAGAAATAAACCCCTAATTAAAAAAAAAAAAACAACTGAACATTCAAGATTAAATAATGTTCTTAAAATTCTGACTAATCATTTTCAGTGCCTTGTAAATTTAGTGTCCTTATTTATTTTTTTCCTAGTGGTTCATGTTTTAATGCAGTTGGTCTTTTTCTTCCTTGTCTCTCTTCCTAAATAAACATCCATAGTAAATTTTAAAAATGTTTTCCCAATATGGCTTAACTGTTTTAAGCATACACTTGTCTCAGTATTCACCACTTAACAATCTCTGAGCAAGTTACATTATATTTGATATGAAGCACAAGAGGCTAATAGTGATGTCTTGTCTTTGTCCATGGCCTGAAAATAAGTAAATAAAATGTCTTTTAAAGCTGTGAGTTAAAGCAACAGGATAAATGACTTTACATTAAAGGTAGATTGATGTTTTCTGTTTATAGCATATAAAGAATAACAAGGACACAAACAAGTATGAAGGCTGGCCAGAAGTTGTTGAGATGGAAGGCTGTATCCCTCAGAAGCAAGACTAAATGAAAACAAAAGGAAAGGAGAAAAGAATATGGAAGAAAATGCACTTTCTGCTATTATTAGGGAGAGGGCTATGAAGGAGACTGTACTGTAAATAATATTTTTAAAGCATGCAACCATCTTGTCGGTGTGTGCATGAGCACTGACATTTTGAATATTGGGATTATTTATTGCTAACACACATAGAAATCCTTTTTGTAAATATGTCCAAAATAAAAGAAACATTAAATCATTTCTATGCAGATTTCTTAAAAGCACAGTATTTAGTTTGCCTGTGGTAAATAGTATCTTGTAGATCAACTGGCTAATAAATCGCATATGCGGATAACGAACAGATCCTGACAAATGTTGTACTGTCCTCTTAACAGCGTAATGTTGCTGTGAGTATGTAACCTTTGTGGAATATGTAGATTTTAGTGATAAGTTAATAAAGAGCTTTAATTTTTTTTAATCTTCTGCCTTTTTAATGGCAGCATCACTTTTTATTAAAGCTATTTGGTTATTCTAATACCAAGTGCTCCAGAAGTTTATTTTGTAGTCCCCCATCAAAACTGAACAATCAGCAAAGGAAGAATGCATGATAGTGTAATACAGATATGCCATGAGAAGCACAATAAAATTATTTTTATTAGGGGAAGAAGAGAAGTGAGTATATAAAGAGTGTGCATGATATTTAAAAGCAGCTTGGAAGGATTTGTACTTAACATGAAAATAGTATTTACTTTGTAGGAAGAGACTTGGCATGTTAAGCCAGCAGTACTGTGGGTAACTTGTTCAGTTTTTATTGCAATTTTTGCGCTGCAATAATGGTTAATCAATTAACCATCGATTCTACCTATGGCTGTTCAGCTGTAGTGGCTAGTCACGTAGGAAGTGTGCATAATGGAATAGCTTCCTCTTTCAGTTCTCACATCAGGAATAAATTTCCCATCACAAAGAGCCTGTTAGAAAGCAGTCTGCCTTCTAGTGAGAGCTGTTTCAGGGTACACAATTATGCACCTTTACTGCCTATGTTACCTCTAATGTGAGCTGAGGCAGATTATGCACCTTTACCACCTATGTTACCTCTAATGTGAGCTGAGGCAATTTGTTCTTACAATGCTTTCTCTAACATCTCCCTGTATCTTGGGTTATGCAATGTGTGACACTTAACTGACAATGTTTCCTTCATCTTTGTTTTTTTAATGGAAAAAAATGGACCAAATCGAAGTGGCCTTATTCTTTAGCTCGTATCAGAGCTTTGAACGTTGTTTTCTTTGGAAACTTCTGTTTCTTTTAAGTAGGGCCAGCTTGAACTTTTGCTGAAACTAAGTTAGTATGGTATAACTGATGGTGTCGGTATTCACCAAATAGGGGCTGACACAGAATTGGGTGTAATCTCTTGGAGCTTTGTCATGAGTTCTGGTATAATCTTCAAAAACTTCTAGCTAGTACCATGGGGCAAAAGCCACAAAGGATTTTTCAGGAACCCACAGTGCGAGTTGAACACAGTGGCACTCAAAATACTATTATTGTTGATGTATGTTGAGACATTTAATTCTGTGCACTAAAAATTTCAAGCAATATTGGGAATTACTTTGTAAGTCAAATAAATAACCTGTGATACCAGAGTAAGACTGGATTTGTTTTGTATGTTTAACTAGCTTGTTAAATAATGTGGTTTTCCCTCAAGTTTAATGTAGAACGGCAATAAATGCACCTTATACAGTGAAACTGCTTTTATTAAATCTTTCAGATTTTCTTGTGTAGGAGGACATATCAAAATCATGCATATTTTTTCATCAAAGTAAACCCCCTGTTTCTGTCAGTTGGAAAATAACTTCTATTTCATAACATTAGGCTATTGTGGAAAAATAATTGTGTAAGTCCTGGAATTTTTACAGAAGTACAGTTTTGTTGGTGTATATGCCAGTATTGGTTATGCTGCTGTCCAAAATAATATCAAAATAATTTTGAAGCTCCTTGGCAGGCGCTTAAGAAAAAAAAATATTTGTCTGCATTAATAGTTTCCCTGGACTACTCTTGTCTTTGTTCTTTTGGTTTTGAATGCCAATGAATATTTCATCTTTCATCAAATTAAGAAGTTCAAGTTCAGTCTACAAAATTAAATGGAGAGGAAGTAAGACTAAAGGCAGACCTCTTAGCCCTTATATCTTTTAAATTTGTGGGTTTTTTCAGCAATCTGAATTAAGTAAATATGAATCTTTTAACCCCTTAAAGTTGCATCTGCCACAGACCTTTTAAACAACAGATTTTAAAGCAATGAAATGGTAGGATTATTTTTGTAACTTCTTAAATAATTTGGTTCTTGTGATTTTGATGAAAATCTTCCTCTTACTCTCTAACCCATGTCCTCACAGCTGTATCATAGTTAATAAGACTCTCTTCAAGTATATAAAACTTGTACTGGAATGGCCATGCAAATGGGGTCGTCTTGCTCTTGTCCATCTTCCTGGTCTGTTGACTTGCCACAAGATCTAGTCATGCCCTCTCTTCTGTCTTGAGTGGGCTTAGTTACAGTATCCCCCTGTTGAGGTAAACTTTCTGATGCTTACTCTTAAGCAGCAAGACTTTCTGATATCCTATATGCATTTCCTTCGAGTTACTGTGCACAAAGATTACTTCTCTGGCCTCTCTTGAGTTACCGTGCACAAAGATTACTTCTCTGGCCTCTCTGGTCTCTCCCACAGCTGGTGATAGGAAGTAATTGCAAAGATGAAGGCATTTTGTACAGGTAGCTTCATGTGAAAGCACCTGTGTGTGACAAAGCTCCAGGATGCATGTTTTCCTACACAAGATGATGGGAACATTTGCAGCATCTTGCGGACTTGTTGAGAACAGAGCAGTGAGGGAAGGACAGAGAGACCGTGGGGGATGTCTACCTCAAAAAGCGCAGCTGTGAGAAGAGGGAGGGGAGGACACAAGAAGGTTGTAACTTCATTTTCCTTGAGGAGCACCCAGCTGGGATCCAAGCTACCTGAAGACTTCTTCATTGTAAACCACAGCTCTCAGCGGCTGTGCTAGTGTTGCTTTATGTGGATAATAGGGCTCTTAAGAAAGAAGCTGAAGGGTGTCTCTGCCTTGATATGTCCTCTGCATCATTCCTACTGTCTTTCACGATCAGACTTTCTTTTTTTTTTTCTTTTCCTCTGGAAACAGCAGAGCCTTTTACAGCTTTATTTTCCCAAGTGCTAGTTTGGAAAAAGCTTCCCTTTGCTTGGCATGTTTTGCTTTCCAGATGCCTTACTGTGGCACTTAGTTCCCTCAAACATTGACATGACTGCTAAACACTTGATGTGTAGGTAATGTCTCCTAAATTGGATTTCCTGCAGTGTGAGTGTTTTTCAAGAATGAGTATATTAATAAAATAGAGGCCAGGTGGATAAATTCAGGGAGGAAATAAAGTAGTAATACTGCCACCGTAAGTGTTGACTGACTTTCCTGTGTAAGGATGGGAAGGGCCATAGTTCTTCCCTAAACCGACTTGGGTCATGGATACCATGCAAGGGACTTTTTATTGATGAAATCCTCTTCAGCTTCAAGTCTGTAAGGCCAGGCTAAGGCCATACGCTAGCCTTAACACAAGGGGCCTGGCTAAGAAAATTGGAAAAGAAGCCTGGAAGGCTGGATGGGGACTTTGAGGCCACGGCAGGAAGGTGCAAGAACAGCTCTTGGCCTGTTTGGTGATACCATGAGGTGTCAGTAGCTTCTGATGCTGTACTAGAGATATGAGGGACACCGCTTCTCACCCTCTGAGCAATGTGCCAAAAGGACACAAAGACCTGGGCTCAGCCACCTTCTGCTGCTGCCTTTCTGCAGGCAAAAAAAGAATGCCAAGAGAGAATGTGCTCTACTTGAGATGTTTCATTACATTTCTGATTATCTTAATATTAGCTTAAACTCACTTTTAGTTCCCCCTTGCTGCTCCTGTAGTCAGCCCTTTCAGCCTTACAAACAAGATCTAACGCATCCTTCACAGACTCAGATTAAAACAGGTTCCTCAGATGTCTCTTCCTATGCTTCATTATCCATCTAGATAGGTTGTCTCATGTACCATCCAAATCTTTGCTGAAAATTCATGATTACTTCTTTGCAAGTTAAAAATTGATGATTTTCCTCTTTGATGCCTTTTACATTCTTCCTGGCCCTATCTTTTCCTTTCTAGAATTGCAAGATTAAGTTCCCTTAATCTTGCATTTATCCTTTTAAAATTGCTATAATCTGTAAATCTGTAATCACCCGTTCCCTCAAAAAGGTCTGTTCCTTTCTTAGGGTGTTGTCCATACAGGATATAGCTATAACCTCATTGACATGAAAAAAGGCACTCCCATCTGAGGAGGAATCATGTCTCCTCCTGGAGCTTGATGGATGGTGGTGGAAGGAAATGCTATCTTCTGTGGAACGTAGTCTGCAAATGTTTTTTCCTACCAAATGCTGCAGCAATCCTCTCTGGCTAATTATCTTCCTCAGCCTTGAATATTTCAACATTGTCTTTATCAGTACAGCCTCATGTTCCCAGATCTTGGCAGCTGAATCATCCTTCCCACTGGAAAACTTAGTGGATAATGTCTTGATTTATGGCTTTTATATCTAAGCCCTCATAGATGTCTCAAAAGCACCTAACACACAATGTAGGTAACTATACCTTGTGTTAAGTTTTGTGGTGTATTAGTAAATAAAATTAACATCGTCTGTTGTTATCCTTTGAAGTATGTAGAAATGAAAACTTTCAGGGCTTTAGAATATATATGGAGAGGGTTAGGGATCAGTATAGAGGACTGTAATAGTCCAGCCACATTGTGTATTGTATAAAAAGCACAGAAATCACTCCATCCTCTATGGGAAATTTCTGATCCCTAGAGGCAGCCCAAAGCAGCTGGTTAATTCTGTTTCTCTTGCTGATCTTGCACTACAGTGCAAGACGTTTCTTAGCATTGCAATTATGGGATAATCAGCAAATGGAAAAAAACCCCACTGAACCCAAATAGTATTTCAAGGTTATTTAAGTGGACAGAATTGTGTTACCCCAAATATGGTCTCAGCAGAGAGTACGATACTGTTCTGTCTTGCCCTAGTGCTGTTTAGTCCTGAGTGACCCAAAGCAAGGAGGGCTTCTTAAAGAGGTTACTTGCAGTTGTAGTGCCATAAAATCATTGATCAATGGAAAATGTGCCTGCCCTGAAGCATCAAACCTTCTTACTGTACATGGCTTGCTTGTTTTCCTGAGAGGGCACAATGTTAGCACATTGTGAGGGATCATAAAACTTCTACAGGAGGTGGTTGTGGCATTGGATAATCCGAAAAGTTTGGTCCTACCCAAATCTCTTGCATAGAAATAACTAAAATGGGTTTATTTCACTAGCTGCTTTGTTTGCAGAACTTCTGTCAAATACTCTCCATTCGTGCTGTATGGGTTTTGGTTTTGTTGGTTTGTTTTTTGGTAAAAACCTGGAGTTTTCAATGCACATGAAGTGTGAAAGTATAGTTGCACAATATTCTGATGTTGGC